TTCGTTGCGACAGCATCCATTGTGGCAACATTATCGTCCTGTATGACATTACGTACTATGACAGCGTTTGTCATGGGAACAACGTATATACCCTGCATCTTTTTCGTCCGGCTCTCAAATGTTCTGTAAACAAACTATGCACATATAATCCCCGTATATCCACAAATTCCATACACTATACACTCGTCTACACTCGTCGTCGCCGCTACCGCTACCGCTACCGCTGCCGTCGTGGACACCGCTCATCGCAGTCGGTCAGCGTCAACGGAGTCGTTTTCTCTGCTGTGCTGTTTCCGCCGTGTGTGCGTGTTGTGGCCGTTGCGTTTGTGACCGTCCATCCGTGCGCAGTCGTATCGGTGGCGGCCGTATAATACGTGTTGGGCCGTGTTGGTGCTTTGTCCCCTCGGTCCTTACCTGACGTGTCCTTTGACGGTAGTGTTGCTGCTTGTTGGTCCGTCCTGTGTGGCGTACTATTCGGTGGCCTGTGCATATTTGCCGTAATGTCCTGCACCTTAACCTGCAGTTCCGTCGCTTGCTCTACCACTATAGTCTTGAGTTCCTGCAATGTTTCTATGTTGGTCACATGTTTCCTCTTACTATGCGCTACCTCACAGCCCTCATTCCAATCCACGTGGCCTAGGTTCCCGTCCAGAATGTTCCCCTGCAATATCCATTGTCCTATTGTACTGGTCACATCCTTGCCAGCTATTACTAATCCGTCCACGTTCAAGCCGGGGCACCCTGTATTATTCACCACGCCGCGTCCAATAGCCGCGTCCATCATTTTGACCATTCGTACAGCATGCCTCAGTACCTCGTCGGCGTTGCAATATGTTTTCAATAATTGCTGTATAGTTACAGTTCCGATAATAGTTCTAATACATGCCTTTAACCCTTTCTCGTGTTCATTTGCCCTCTTCGCTATTTCTTCCGGCGTCTCACCATGCCTCATGTATAGTAATATTCTCACGGCCATCCAGCACATATACATCCTCCCTCCATATATTTTGTTCGCTTGTTGCCCCGCTTCACATATCAACTTAGAGACATCGCCATCCCCATGTTGTATATTTCTTGTGAACTCATCGAACAATTGCTGTATGTCATGCCATATTCCTGTCTATATTAGAATAAAATGATATGTATAACAGTGTGCTCCTTCCGCTTCCACACTGTTTAATATCTTCCCTCCATAACACATCAATTCACATTTGTCATAAAATCCCTTCGTTTGTTTTATCTGTCCATTGGCCTCTCTCTTTTGTATTCATCTTGCGTCCGCATTATAATTACCTCATATGTTTGCTCCTGTCCCAGCATGTTCCTCTTGTTAATATAATCCACCAATAGCTGCCGTAATGTCTCCTCCATCTTGCTTCTATTACTTTAACTGTGTATTCAACTGTTATTGCGCATACTGCACTGCCTCATGCTTCGTATGTGTGTGCACAACTGCCCTTGGCTCGTCACAGTAGTGGCTGTGTTCACATTAATAAAACATATGCGTCAACTCCACGCTGTAGAGGCCCTGTATGTTTCATGCAAGATTGGGTAACACGACAAAACAAGAAAATAAAAAACCGAATATATAGAAAATAGAGAACAAAGGAATAAAGGAAAAGGAAAAAAAGAATAACAAATAGGAACAACCAAAAAAAAAAAAAGAGAAAAACAAGAATAAATGGGACAAGAAGGAAAATATAGGAAAGGTAAAACACCGTCATGAATACATCCCCCCCCCTTCCCCACTAACCCCCATTCACACACGTTGTCTCTGTGTGCGTACACCTAAAACCGAACAACAACATAGTCACAGCATCAATTGTTCTTCCGTCGTTGCCGCGTTCCGTCCGTGGTTTGCCCTCCCACAAAATATGTGTGTTCCTTCGTCCCCGTCGCCCTCAGCCTGCTCCCTCACGCGAATCCGTCCCTCGAAACCCTTACTCGGACAATCTGCTTTACCCGACCGCGTTGGTCGACGCGTGTGCTCGGAGAGACAATGTCTCCGTCCTTTCTTACACTCGGACAAGCGCCTTTACCGGGCCACGTTTGCTCGGAGAGACAATCTGTCCTTATACTCGAATGCGTAGGCGCATGCTATATGTGTTGTGCACTATACCCGTAGAATGCACGTGCGCATCTGTTAATAATGAACTTCACATAAAGGAGAATACGACCCGTTCATATTATTCATTTAAATCTACGTTTTTTATGCATGTAACGGGTACGCACCGGTGCCTATGGTCATGTTAAAAGTTGACTACACAGAAAAAGAACAAAACAAGGCAAAAGTAAGCACAAGCAGAACAGAGCAGCAAAAAAAGACGGTATAGAATAATGTAAACCAGAAATATATTATGTATATCACATAATGAAGTAAAAGTGGTGTACGGTTAGCATGCGTTATGTCCCATGCATATGGCCCGTCATCCTAATTGCAGAGCTTCTGCAATAGGTCATCCAAATATAACTCCTTCTCTTGCACACTTCTCTCGATTTCGCATTCTTCGATTACGGACGCGAGGACCAGTATCCATATTTTAGCGGTTAACGGTTTTTTCATGTAAGGTTGCGGGTGCAGTTGCGACCGCGGTAAATCTCGCACTCTTAGCAGATCGTCTGCTGCCATTACTTTTTCCACTTCTAAGTGTTTGTCGACTACAGGTATAGCGCCTTTTGCCATTACTGTCTCCTGCTGTGCATTATGCAACAAATGTTGAAACCACTCCTCCTCACCATATATATGCATAAGCGCATGTTGTCGCGCTACCCATTGTTTCCACAACCGCAGTTTCTTCATCGGCGGGGTGGCTGCGTCACCGAGTTCACGGTGCCCGTTATCTTCGTTTGCCACCATGTGCTCGCGCAGGTATTGTTTCCAATCCGCTTTTAATTGCAGAAACCACGGCTGCGTCGTGCAGTCCTGCAATAGGTGCTTGTGCCGGTCAATCCACGGTGTCCACTTTGTGCAGTACGACGTCGCGTCCCCGGGGTTGGAATGAGCATTCTGTTCTGCATCTAAGTCGATATGTTCCATACACTTCCATGGATCGGGGTTATCTTCGTTAGGTGGAGAAGCGTCCGTTGCTAACTGTATGTTTTCCATGGAACTCCATGGATCGGGGTCGTGTTCATTCGGTGGACAAGGTTCCGTTGCGAACTGTATAGTTTCCATACACTTGCATGGATCGGGGTCATGAGGTCGACAAGGGCCCGTTGCTAACTGTATGGCTTCCATACAACACCATGGATCGGGGTCCTCTTCGTTAGGTGGACATGAATCTGTTGCGTCCGAGTCAGTGGATGGATCGACGGTGGAGGCAACATTGTTTCCTGATAAAGCCTGGTCTGGCGTAGAAACACCCAAGATATTGTTATGCTTGTCGTGTTCCCGCATCAAATCCCGCATCAAATCCTTCGCAAACTCCTCCACCAATATCTGCCAATAGTCCTCTTTGACGTTTTCCCATTCTGTTGCTTCACATTCGTTGAGCACTGCTAAGTGTAGCTGGATGATGGTGCGTTTATGCACGCGTGGATGACGTCGTCGTCGGGCGGATGTTGACGCGGGTGGCCTATCCCTAATCATCGTGTAACTGTAATGGAGCGGTGGCGCTCCTCGTTGTAAATGCTGCAATATTTCTTCGTCGAGTGGCGGTGACGGCACGTCACGAACGGTGCGAAACGTTCGTCGTCGTTTGTGTCCGAGGAAGGCAAAATACTAAACAAAAAAAAAGAACGCGGACGATGTAGAAGAGTGCATGTGTGTTAGAATGATGATAGAACAGCCCACTTAGCAACACATTTGTCTATGGTGCATATGACGGATACGCATACACGGCGTCGCGTATATACTTACCTTCCAAAGGGAATAACCAAGGAAGGCAACGATGACGGCAGTGAAAAAAAACAGGATGGGAGTAGTGGCGGTAAGCACCGTGTCGGTTAAGTCAGGAATATCAGGGCCCGAAGGGATGTTTGTGTTCTGTGGTGTACTCGGAACCTGTGGGGTACCTGGTCCATATGATCCCTCTAGATTTCCTTTGTCCGTTATAAAGTTGAAGGGTATATGGGGGCCCCCGTAGTCATATGTCCCTGCAGTTCGCTTATCTTTACCATCAGTGGCTGTGGAAGGAGTACTGGGAGAACCTAAGGTATTACCGGTACTACCGGGGGAGGAAAGCCCAGGGACTCTCGTGCCGACATTATCATGAGGGCGAGAATAGGAACCATCCTTCGCAATACATGTTGCATCGGTAATGCCGGAGAAACAGTCTGGTGCAGGTGTCTGCGGGTGCACGGGTGCCCCCCATGGTTTATCAATATCTGCTGTAGGACCCGTGCGATCATGGCCTTCCGAAGAAGTGGCCTTCCCATGCGTTGGAACCTGCGCGTTACTGGGTTCCTGCTGATCTTTCTGATCTGGTGCTGCTGCTGTTTTTTTTTGATCCGTTGTCTCTGTCTTGTCCCCTGCTTCAGTTCCTATATGGGTACACAGGGGGAAAAAAGAACATGGATGAAACCGAAGTTATGTTTCGGATGGTTTTGCCCACGGTCTGCTACACGGTCCGTCGACCACACGGTAGGCCACACGGTTGGTGCGTGCGGTCGTTTCACGGGTGACGGGCGCTCGGGTGACGAGGCAGCGATGGGGCAGGAGACGGATGGAGGTTGGTAGGGCAGGAGACGGACGGCGGCATGGTTCACGAGGATATGGGGGCACGGTGCTTACGGTACCACCCGGGAAAAGACTCTCTCTGTCTCCCACACAACACACACACAACACACACACAATGTGTGTGTGTCTGTCTACATCTGCATCCCGCGGCCGACCGGGCGCTCGGTCTCTACGGCCCGTGGCTCGAGCGCGCACTGTCCCCCGCTGATTCTCATGCGACGGTGGGTTCTCTATCAGGGGGCTCTGCGAGAACTTCGGTGTTTTGTCTTTCATGTTGTTTTTGTCCTGTTTTGATTCTCTCCTTTTTTTTGTGCCTTTTTTTTTTGTGCCCTATTCCTCGTACTAATTACCCACGCACAGTACCTGTAGGAACTGTGAAGGTAATGGGGGTACTTCCTTCGGTTACACTAATGGTACGCGAACTTCCCCAAAGTGTCTTATTAAGAGCGTTCTCTTCCTCAGGGTCCGTCACTTGAGGAGGGATATCAGGTGTAACTGTGCCTTCCAGGCAAGCATAAAGTTTATCCTGATCCATCTCATTTTCACTACATTGTTCTGCTGGTCCTTGGGAGTTCCCCGGCGTACTCCCTTGTGCTGCAGGCGCAATTGGATTCTTACCTGTTGCACTTGCATCGTTTGCTCGTCTTCCAGGCCTCTCATCGGATCGTGTTGGTCCTGATGCAGAGCCTCCTGGTATGACCGGTGGTGCCGACGGTGGGGGTTGTGGTGGCGATCCTGCTCCTGAAGGCGGTGCTGCTGACCCTGGATCTGACCTGCCTGGTGATGATGGTGCAGATCCTGGAGACTGTGCACCTGCTGCTCCTGCAGGTTCCTTTGGTCCTGTATCTCCCGTTGATGCTGATGGTGGGGACGTACTTGCCGCCTCCTTTGCTGCAATAAGGAAGAAAGACAGACAGACAGATGATAAACAAAAAAAGCGACACAAGTGGTACAGAAAGAAGGGGGCGGGACGGTTGGGTCAGGTAGCGGCAGCGTACCGTCCGGCTCGATGCAGTGGGTCGATGCAGTGGGTCGATGCAGTGGGTCGAGGTGCACTCGGTGGACTGCGTCCAAGCGGACTGGGTCGTGCTGGATGGTAGTAGTACAACTTTTATTTGTCGCCGTCCCGTTCCGTCCGTCTGCACCGCCCGTCGTCGCTACATGCTGTTCCGCCGCGCACACCGCGTGTACACTCGTGGCCGCACCACAGTGACGCCGCTCCCGTGGTGGTCGCCGTGTTTGCGTGTTGTGGCCGTGCATCCGTACGAACTTGTTCTAGTCGTATTGGTCGTATTCGTGCCGGGGGCAGTATTTGTATTCGTACTACGCGTATTCTGTGCTACCCGTATTATTACCTTTCTGTTGTTCAATTTCCTGTTCTACTGCGACCTTGGCCTTCTCAATTACCCTTGTTGCTGCGTCCACTACGTTCTTCTCCACTTCTTTTATATCATTGATTTTCTCTTCGTCCACCCGTGTCGTATCATACTCCTTCATGTTGTCTTTTGTATAAACTGCCCACTTCGTATTACAGAACTGCCTCTCGTCTATGTTCTGCATGCCATCCCATATGTTCCCGTGCTGTAAGAACCATTGGACTAGGTCCAAATTTACTGCGTCTACGTGCTGTCTATTATGCCCATACCCACACATGGTGCACTTTCCCTCTACAACGGGACCATCGATCTGTCCAATTCCGTTTGTTCCCGCGCTCTTCATGTTCTTGAATACTATCCAGGGATATTCTGTGCCTCTTCGCCAGTGTTGCTGGTGCGGACAATATCTGTGTCTCAGTAGATGTCCAAATACATTCACTACTTCACACCGTAGCCTCTCTTCCATTTCCTTCTCTGTCTGGTTCTTGTGCTGTTTATGTTTGTCCTGTTTACTGTTGTTCCAACCATTAGCCCATCCCAATGCAAGCGTCATAACTCTGCACCTTACGACATCTGCTACTTTTTGATCCTCGAAATAATGTTCTGCTCGTGTTATATCATCCCAACCCGTATTATAACAATTTGCACCATATGCGTGCTCTTGGTCTTTATATGTATCCATATATTTCTTAAAATCATCAAACACGTCCCTTAATCTTTCCAGTTCTCCTTTCTGTATTATGTATATGAGAATAAGGAAATAGTTATGTACACGTTTTACCTACGTTGTACCCCCCGGAAGCACGTACACCCGCACATATATGCATGGGCTCTCATGAATAAATTCCCTTTCCATCTATGTCGTCTGTTTTCCCCCCCTTTACTGCTCTCACTCTAACTGACATTATACTGAGGCACCACGTGCACTGTCGGATGCTTCCACTCGGCTAATCTGTCTCCTTGACATTCCCCAGGTTTGTCAGTGTGCACTCCTTCCTTCGGTCCGGCACCACTACCAGCCTTACCACCACCACGACCACCAGATGATGCCGGTCGCGCCGCTACTGGTTTGGCAGCGGTGGCAGGTTTGTTCGGCTTGGCCGCGGCGGGTGGTGTTGGTCTTCCTTGTTCCCCTTGTCCTGTTTTCGCTGGAAGGAAGAAGAGGAAGACGGATGAAAAGATGATAAAGGAGAACTGGTAGACAGGGGTGATGGATGCGCTCGGGTCGATGCACGAGCGGGATGCTAGCAGTACACTTATTTGGCCGCTGTTCACCGCCGCTGCATCCATCGGCTGTTGCCCCTGGGCCGAGTGTTCCATGCCACCTGTCCTTGCCTTCCCCAATTTTCATGAATATTGTTCCTTCGTGCCTGCTGGTGATTATCTATTCTACTCAGTATGTTCTTACCATTCAACTGTACGTTACGTGGACTGCCCGCACATGCAGTAGCACGTATCCGTGTCTGCGCCTTTTGCCTCATGTCCTGTATCCTACTTGTCCAGTCCTGCACTGCACACGAAGAATCGCGTGAGGCGTTCTTCACTCTGTCCGTAACACTACTATCGTCCAACATCCATGTGGTAATTCTCCCTTCAAGGGGAAAATCCCCTACACATGTATCGCCAAATTGCCATTTCACACACTGCCTGCTTCTGCTTGGTCGTCCTTTTAGCATTTCATTTACATGCGCTTTCCCGGCCTGCAGAGCATGATCCAGGATATCCTTATCCCAGCATGCCAGCTGCATTATTTTCTGTATATATACACTTCCTATTATACACTTCATCCCGTCCTCTAATGGTTTCATACTGTCGTTGGTCCCATCGTTGTCGATCAATGTGCCCTCACCGTTTAAACCTTCTATGTAAAACATTAACCTTACTAGTAATGCGCACATCTTTTTCTCTTTTCCTTCCAACTTTGCACCATCATTTTCCTCTTCTGCACCACACAGTATTTCTGGTATGCCGTCGTCCTCATCCTTGTCCCCTTTCATATTCTTCGCAATCTGTTTTTTCAATTCTTGCATTTTATCCCACATCTCTTTCTGTGTTGTTCAAAATGAAGAGGATGAACATACATTTATATATATAGCTGATATGGGCTCGGTTCTTTGTCGTCCATGCAACATTATACCACATATACATTTTTCTATGTACATAGTTCCCCACACCACTGTGCACCCGTTTTATCCCGAGATGCCTGCACCATATTTTTGTACACTTACATTAATTTTTGTCTGTTGATCGTCGCCTGCCGATCCATTCCGTTGGGCCCATTGTACCCTGAGGTTTGAAATAAAATTTTTTCCTTCCTTACTCCCCCATAATTTATCCTACATTACGAATAAAAGAAATAAATAAATAAAGAGAAGGGGATTATGCCATATTTCAATGTACACTGTGCCGACATGGCCTCCGTGTCCAAACGATGCTGACACGCGTTAAAAAAAAATTTGTGTACCCAATTACTCATCCTGCTGGTTCCCCATACTTTTCGTGTGTTATAATTCAACTTACATCATCCGCCATCGGTGGCCCTGTATTCCCTGTTTGTTGGTCTAGCGGTGATGTTGCGTAGGGTCCCGGCCGCGTGTGCTCGGAGAGACAATCTCTCCCTCCTTTCTTACACTCGCCTACGTCGCAGAACCCGTTGTTACAATCGGTCACGTGTGCTCGGCTACGTCGTCGAATCGGCCGCGTTTGCTCGGAGAGACAATCTCTGCGCCTTCTTACACGCGGAGGCAATGTCGTGCACTAGGACAATCCTGCTTCGAATCCGTGTTGCACTTGGCCGCGGTTGCTCGCACACAATAGCCGTGCTTACTGGGCCACGTTGGTCGTGGCGCTTGCTCGGAGAGACAATCTCGGCTGCGGCGTACACTGGAGCCGCGTGTGAGGGGCTGCGACGTCGAATACGCGGTGCAGGCAGACCGATGGTGTGCTGTGAGACCATATGCAGCAAGCGTGCAAACACAAAACCATGAACGGATGCAATGGCGTGGACGCCACAGATTACAAATATTATGAGTCGTAGTGGAAAATGAAATATGGATGCGCGCGCAGGTGCAAGATGCAGGCAATGGAATAATCGCGTGGAACGAAAAACAGCCTGGATGCGAGTGCAAAAGCATGAACGGATGCAATGGCGTGGACGCCAAAGATGACAAATAGTATGAAAGGTAGTGGAAAATAAAATATGGATTCGCGCGCAGGTGCAAGATGCAGGCAATGGAATAAGCGCGTGGAAGGAACAACAGGCTGGATGCGAATGCAAAAGCAGAAAGAACAGAAGCATAAAAAATGCGAAGAGCGCGCAGATTAGGCGTAGAATGCGAAAAAACAAAAAACCAAAAAAACAACAAACCCGCAGAGGCGTGCGATGCACGAAGTGAAATCGCGAAAAAAACGTAGAATGGCCTGCAAGGGTAAGGATACGTGACAACAGTGAACAAAAGGGCGCTGCGGAGCAGCAGCGTGCAGGAATGCATATGACAAAAGGCCAAATGGGCGCAAAAACGTTGCGCGCATCAAGCATGCAGGAAAAGGGAATGAAAAATGGATGCAGTAGAAGGAGAGCAAAGAAAGGATGAAAAGTGGGGGAAAACAACGGGAAAACAAGGAAAAAAAGGAAAAAAAGGGAAAAAAGGACAAAAAAGGAGAAAAAAGGAGAAAAAAGGAGAAAAAAGGAGAAAAAAGGAGAAAAAAAATAAAAAAATAAAATAAAATGAAAAAAGGAGAAGAAAGAACCCAACAAAAAATAAAATAAAATAAAAAATGGAAACACAAGAAATATGAACATGCGCGGTAGAAGAAAAAAGAACGAAGGATATAATCGCAAATGGAAAACGGAAGTAAAAAAGTAAAAGGCACCAACTCAGGTGTAGATACCAGAAATCAACAAAATCACCCAAAACAGGGAACATCGGCAGCACGAGGGTGATGAGAATAAAAAAAAAAAAAAAAAAAAAAGAAAAAGTGGAGTAGCGCGACATGCATATAAGCCGAAGGTAAACGCAGGTGCAAGATGCAGGCAATGGAATAAGCGCGTGGAAGGAACAACAGGCTGGATGCGAATGCAAAAGCAGAAAGAACAGAAGCATAAAAAATGCGAAGAGCGCGCAGATTAGGCGTAGAATGCGAAAAAACAAAAAACCAAAAAAACAACAAACCCGCAGAGGCGTGCGATGCACGAAGTGAAATCGCGAAAAAAACGTAGAATGGCCTGCAAGGGTAAGGATACGTGACAACAGTGAACAAAAGGGCGCTGCGGAGCAGCAGCGTGCAGGAATGCATATGACAAAAGGCCAAATGGGCGCAAAAACGTTGCGCGCATCAAGCATGCAGGAAAAGGGAATGAAAAATGGATGCAGTAGAAGGAGAGCAAAGAAAGGATGAAAAGTGGGGGAAAACAACGGGAAAACAAGGAAAAAAAGGAAAAAAAGGGAAAAAAGGACAAAAAAGGAGAAAAAAGGAGAAAAAAGGAGAAAAAAGGAGAAAAAAGGAGAAAAAAAATAAAAAAATAAAATAAAATGAAAAAAGGAGAAGAAAGAACCCAACAAAAAATAAAATAAAATAAAAAATGGAAACACAAGAAATATGAACATGCGCGGTAGAAGAAAAAAGAACGAAGGATATAATCGCAAATGGAAAACGGAAGTAAAAAAGTAAAAGGCACCAACTCAGGTGTAGATACCAGAAATCAACAAAATCACCCAAAACAGGGAACATCGGCAGCACGAGGGTGATGAGAAT